CTGTGGAACCCGAAGAATGGAAAGAGACGGCGAGGAAGACCTAAAATAACACGGAGGAGGACTTTCCTTGAAGATTTACGTTCATTCGAACTGTCATGGGATGAAGCAACAACTGGCGCGATAGACCGAGTTCGATGGCGTTCTCTTGTCGCCCGATGCACCGATCGACGCGGGAGGATCTAAGTCTAAGTAATGGCAAACGGAGCATTACATTAACTAACAGCACTACAAGTAATATATAGTTTTAAGTTACAGTGGAAAAAGAAGCAGTTTCCACTAAGTGGGGAACTTCTTAGCAGCAGTACAGTCACAGTATGATGTGACCCTGAAAAAATTGCAGTTTGCACTGAATCTAGATGGAGTCATAGGAGTGCCAGTGTTGATGATAAGCATGAAATTGAAAGTGTCAAGGTACTGCAAACAGTCCAACTCGAGTATGATGAAGGTCACTGACTCACTTTCTAGTTTGTTGAATCTTCTTTCTTCAGTAGCTGCACATCATCTACTCACTTTATGGCTAACTAAAGTAAGCTCATTCCCTCCTCTGTTGTTGCACTGGCCTGTACCTGTGATATCACACCTCCAGTGTGGTTTTTGTCCCTCCCTTCACATGGCTTCATATTACATGTTAGTCTGCACAACCTGCTTGGGTGGTCAGTAGAAGTAATTCAATTAAAAATGCTCCAAAAAGCATCAGCAGCACAAAACAGAGCAGAGGTCTAATTCAGCGATGAGCGATGATGAGGCCCAGCCGACACCGGTCGACTCCTTATGTCAGGACGACTGTCCGTCAAGGCTGGATATGGGTTATTAAAAAAGGGGATAAGCTGCCCACTGAGACCAAACCCTTTCTTTGTATCAGACTATAAAAAGGCTTTTTATTGCTTTAAAATTGGACAACTTCATATGTGTGTCTATGGAGGCTGGCTCACGTTTTAAGCCAGCCTCATCACACTTCTAGAAATAAGTTGCCCAGCTAGTCTAAAGCTACTGTAGCAACTTCAGCGTAGCGTCTAAATAAGCACGAGGATTAAAGCCGATTGGGTTGGTTAGCAAGGTGTTGTTCCACGTTTGTCTTTAAAAATGAGTTGGATAAAACAAAATAACACAATACAGCACTCTGACTGAGGAAGTTGGGCCTTTTTTGTATGTTTTAGTATTAACATCTTTCAGAAACCTATGGCAGCATCATTTGTTTGCAAACTGCAATGTAAGATATAATTAGTAGGGGTGCAACGATACTGGTATCGATATTGAACCGTTCGATACAGTGCTTTCGGTTCGGTAAGCATATGTATGAACAATACAACATTTTAAATTTATTTTATCAACTTT